TCAGCATCCCCAATAGGGTCGTCGGGCAATGCGCTACTGTCCAACGTCGGTGGTTGTGGTTTCGGTTCTTCGGGTGGGCTGCTCGGAACGCTTGAGTCCAAGTTTCCAGATGCTGTTTCGGTAAGTTGCTTGTTTATTAAGTGCAGACGTGCTTGACCTTCTGGGGAGTCGCCTGAATCGATATATTGATTAGAAAGACCATCTATTCAATAGACAGCAGAAGTTGAAGGCAAGTGCAAGTATCTGGATTTCCTATGTGGGACCCGATTTGGGAAGCTTTGATTAAGCCATTACTGAAGCGACAACTCGTAAGGTTTACTCGTAATCAAGTACGTCAATTCAAAACTACAGACCACGCCGTAATCAAGTGATAGAAAGTACGGTATGGGCTAGAGTTTGAACTCGAATATCCTGACAACGCATTGATCATATGAATTGCCGATTGGGCAAAGCTTAGCTAGAATTTTAGCTTCCAATTTTAGTTCCCCTATTAGGACCCAGCTATCCAAATTTTTCTGGATACTCCTCTGAAGTTGTGGAAAATTACTCACGTGGAATGCATTTCTTCTTATCCTCTTTTTCATCGATTTGTCGATCCTTATAAGTGATGTAACCTTCCGGGGTTTCTTCAATATGCAATACAGGGTCGATGTACTCCGGCGGGGGTTCTTCTACAATTGGAGCGCTATTGATACTCCTACAGTAGGCCAAGAGGGTTACAAGTGCTAAGCAGAATGTCGTTGTTGTTCGCATCTGAAAATTATCGTATTTTAGAAGTTTGTAAAAGTCCATATCTCTAAGATATTCGGAAACGAATAAGATTTGAATTAATGGAGTTACATGAACATGGATGATGAACGAGTGAGTGATATTTCAGGCATGAATGAGAAAATCAGGGAATTTTTTCTGGACATGCTGAAGTTTTGTAGAAGCTGAAATCGTGACTTGGTTTTGTAGTCTTAGTGGATCGTGAGCCTTTATTAATATGTGGTTTTTGTTTCGCTGGTTCTTCAACTTATTCTGCCATCTCGTCTCTCTATTTACTTTTAGCTTTGATTTAATCAATTATTTCTGCCTAGGTCTCAATGATATCTACGATCTCCAATATCATATCTTTTCATTATCGATCTCCACTTCGCTTTTTATTTGACTACCATAAAATGTATAGTTTTTTGATTTGGACTTTCTAATTATTTGTTCTTCTTATTGTGCTCAGTTAGTTCTGCAAACTACATCCTATCTCAATAAATGAATGAAGCTTTACCACTGACAGCTTCTCATTGCAAAAGACACTTCATAAATGAAGAGATGTAGTGGATTATTTACGAATATATCGTAAGAAAGAAGTTGCCTTTTTTTCAAAGTTCACTGCATTTTCCAGTCAAGACGAAAACGATTGTAAATGAGACTAAAACTGAAAGACTAGCTGAGACTCAAATACCACAGCACATGTACGCAAATGTATAAAAAAGCGGTCTATATAAACAAAGAAGTCGAGTGAACATATGCTAAATCAAATGCTGCAATCAAGTCTTTAAAATCAGCAGAGTCCAGATAGGAATGAAAATAGGATC